AAAATAATCCCTAATTAACACAACTGGTCAGGTGATAAAAAATCTCCATGACTAATGGCTTCAGAATGAAGCCACAAGCCAAACATTCTTGACAAATTTTCTGTGTGTTATATTACTCTCAAAGGAGGAACTAATTAAATAGATTAAATAAAGTCAGATGCTATTCTCAATAAAATCAGGAATTTTATGCTATTCTTAATAAATTCTGGAAAAACAAAACCATAACAAATTCAAACAAAATTAGGATTTTTAATACTAAAATACTAATGTTAAATCTACCCTACTACATGGGTCTGAGACATGGCACTGCAATAAAAAAAAACATTAAATAAATTTCAACTATTTATTAACAAGAAGGATCTTGCTTATCAAGTGGTTTCATAAAAAGAATCTTGTTTAAACAGAATCGCGCGAATCAAGTGGTTTCATAAAATTTGTGATGCAGAAATTCTTAGAAAAGCATAACAGAAGCCGATTTGATCTGGAAATTAAAAAACATAAATGGAAAGAAATTGGTCATGTTCTACGTAAACCTGAAAAATTTAAAGTAAAATGAGTTTTTGATTGGAACTTTCTGGGCAATAGAAAAAGGGAAAACTTGAAAATACTTGGCGCATAACGATTGTAAACGAATTGAAAAAAAATAGGAAATGCATGTAAAGAGGCAAAATATCTCGCCACAAATGGAGTGATATAGAAAGCTATGGTAGAAGCTCTAAGCTCCAATTCGGAGTGAGAAGGAATATGTATCTATGTGTATATTATTCCGACGAAATTCATCACTAAATTTTTTCTTCTGATTAGAGAAGAAGCATTTAAACCTTAACTCTTTCCTTCTCGCTCCCGTGAAAATGACGGGGTGAGGTTTTGCCCTCTATTTCTCGCTCCCGTGATATTTCCGGGTCGGAGTGTTCAGTAGTAACGCGCCAGTAAGAATAAAACTGATTCATTTCTTTTGCCTGGAAAACATTTTATTTGTTCCTCCAGAAGAGATGAAAACAATAAGAAATGTAGGAAGGAAACTCGGTACTAATGTCCAGATTGTGACGCTGGCCTCTGTATCTCATGCTTTGAAATTTATCACACGGGAAAAAATTGCTAATCTTTATTTATATTATACGTAAGTTTAATAAAAAATTTTTCAAATTTTTAAAACACTTTTTTTAAAAAAAAAATTTTCTTGCTTGCTGTAAAACGAACATTAAGTTGTTGGCTTTTGAATGTTGGCTTTTCCTAAAAATTTAATTTTTTAAAATTTCGAGATAAAAACAAATTAAAAATTAAAAATGAGTAAATATATTGTTCGTACACATGTTTTTATATAATTTTCAGGGATAAAAAAAAATAGGAACTTTTATGACCGTTTTCTTGAAAATTAACCGATCGTTAAAGGGTTAAAAGAAAATTTGACTTAGTTTTTCTGACGACGCGTGAAATCGCAGGAAAATACTTTCGATGAATCGTCAAGTTAAGAAAAAATAATTTTTTCCGTTTTCAACTTTGTTTAAATATTTCTAAGTTATTAAATTAGGCACATGAATTGATACACTATTGAATTGGACGCATGAAATATAATTTGTTCTTTAAGATGAAATTATGCATCATAATTTTTTCTCACGTTTCTCACCGTTTTATGAAGTAATAAAATTCAGCAATGTTTTACACATAAAAAAAATTAAGTCTTGTTTGTAATATTATAAGAAAAGGTGGTCTTCAAATAATTTTAATTACATATTACTGTGATTCATATAAAACATTTTCAATTACAAGATCAATTATATTTTATGCCAATTATATTTACCACTTCAAGGACTCAAACTCTTGCCATCTTAAACTTAAAATCACGAACAAACCTGATTACATTTCAAGACTTTAGCCCGATCATCTTAAACACTGCTGTGTTAACTTAAGAGACAAACATATTTTCCTTTCGTTGCAGTAACCTTGAAACAAATTATTTACAAAAATATATATCTTATTTATTTTTTAAGAGCATGAGCAAAGCTTTCAGAAATTGATCGATTTGTATTCAATGCAAAATAATTGGTGGTTATAGTCAAGGGTAAGAAGCTTAATATTTGGGTATATTTCTGAATAACAGTAATTTAATGCTTGTTTTAGGGAAAATAAGAATTATATTTATTATTATAGAATAAGGAAAAAACATTTATACACATCTTTATGATATTTGGAAGTTAACTTATACATTTGTTAAGGAACATGAGCAATTAAATATTTATTTTAATTAATGTTTCATATATTTTTTAATTAAATGTCGGTACAGGGCAAATAATTTTATCGTACAAAATTTACCAAGATTTTTTATGGAGAGGCGGAACTGATTTTATCCAGATCACCTATCAGTGTGTGCAATATCACAACCTGTTGTAAGACAGAACTTCTCCCATTTTTTTAATAAAGATTATCAATAACCTCGAATAATAGGGATTGAAGACATATATGCTCCTTGTAAGTTGAGTAGGTGTCTCAAAGTTTAGTGATTTCTCCACTCTCCACACTTTCCTCCTCTCTGTCTTCAGCTAATCTTACTTTTAGCCCACGTTTTGAAACAAAGGGAGATATTCATTTTTGAAGGAACTGAAAATTAACACTGCTTAATGTCAAGCCCATTGAGCCAACCCCACTATTTCGAATGTCAATGATTTGGTATAAAAAGTAAACATAAAAAAGCTCGTTAAAATTAAAGCAACCCAATAACTAAAATAAAATAAATTTAAAGAAAAGAAGATTGAAAATGGATTTTAAAATGCGGCTGTATATAACCATGAAAAATGAATCGTTAATATTGAATAAAATTTTAATCCTTGTATTTAATGATAAAGATCTTTAAATCCTCTCAGTGTTATATCTTATTTTCAAATGTTACTTTCTAATAAGTTTATCACCGATGTTGCCTTGAATTATTAAAACTATTAAACATTCATAAGTAAAAGTTACATAAATCGACTGAAGTATTATAATAATTGTTAAAATTTATAACATTAAGGCATTATTCAGAAAACTGCACTGTTTTTAATCTCGCCTTTTAATTCTAAGCTATAGAAAAGGAATAATTTTTATTTTGTCTATTTTGTTGGCTACGAATTTCGCACTAAGACAAGATTTAAAAAAAAATATCAGTATAGGTATTATCGGACTATAGTCCTTGATCTTAAATAACATTAGTGTATGAAGACCGGACAATGGTCCTTAATCTTAAAAAACATCCGTGTCGGAAATACCGGACAAGGGGCCCTTTTTCTTGAAAAACAGCGTAGAGAATACCGGGAAAGCACATATCGAGATATTGCTCTTAATATCGGAATATGCCGGACGATGCGATTAATATCTATTTTTTTAAAATCGTATTTACCAGTTTATTTTTAAAAAAATTACTAAATTAAGACTGATAATAACCTAGAGAGAAAGTGCAGGTTATTGTTCATTGTAAACTTACCTACTGTTCCCTACACTGCTTTTTTAAAATTTTTTTTATTATTATAATGAAAGTCTCTGTCCGGTATATACTAGCCTGATATTCCCCGCTCTGTAGTTTTGACTAAAATAGCCATTACTCTGGATTCCTTACACTGTTTTTTTTAAGGTTATGAACTATCTTCAATCATTCCCTGCACTGGTATTTTCCTATTCTATGCTAGGTATAAAATTCATAACCACATTCTAAAGAAAAAATTTAAATCTCTCTCTTTCTTTTATCTTAACTTAAAATAAGAGAATGAATAATAACATAAAATATATTACTGAAAGGGACAAGCCCCTAACAGTCGAAATTCTTTAAATTGCATTTTGTTAATAAGAAAGAAATGTTTATATTTCGATTTCCAAATTCCGAGATCAAAAATAATTTCTATACGCTGCAACTGTATTCGGAAAATGTAGGCATGCCTTACCTAAATTTGCCCACCAATTATGGTAAAAAAACTCCCTTTTGGATGAATCTCGAAATTGAAGACCTAAGTCTAAAGACTGAGCTGATTTCTGAATAATGCTATAATAACTATTTTATGAGTCAGCCATTGAAATTGCTTTCAAATGACTAATACCTATTTTGTAAATACGATGTACGAAAAAATTGCAAATAACTGATAATTAATAAAACACGAACTTGAATGTTAAATTTTTATAATAAACTGAATAAATTTTTGTAATTGAATTAAATATTTGAATAATCTGAAGAGAAAACAAACATATAATGACTGAAATTTATTAATTTCATATTAATGACAACTACAGATTTCTGTATTTTTGTTTATTTATTTTCGTGGTTTGCAAATACGGAACTTTTCAACCCTCCATACCCATAATTGTTATTCAATATAAAAGTGACACTTAACTATAAAAAAGACAAACCAAATCAAGAAAATATATTTAATAATAATTATTAATTTCATGTAATGGAGTGAAAAAAAATTCTGATAGTACTTTTACAACTTCATAATTATATTTCAGCTCTAATAGAAAAATCACTAGAAATAAAATTTCTTAATAGCTAAATATAAATATGAAAAATAATTTTAAAATTCCAAGAAAAAAAAGGAAAGTTCATGTTCACGTTTAGATTAGAATACTTGTTTTTAAAATTATTTTTGCTTGAATCGATGATAAATTAAACTACTCTGTTTTCCTTATACTATTTTCATTTATTTATTTACATTTCATAAATTGTCTGATAAAAATGAACAAATAAATTTTTTATTAATGATTGTAGGATCTATTCTAATTGCAAATGAAACAACTGAATATTTTAAAATTGCCAATTATATTTCTAAGCTTTAAATATTGATGTAAACAAGATTTAAAAAAAGCATTTGGTATGTTATTTGAAAAAATGTAGGAAAGAAAAACTAAAATTTGATTTGAATTTAGTGATTTGAAATGCAATCTGCTCAATAATATTTTAGTCCAAAACAATAAATTCTTAGGCGATAAATGAGACAAGTTTATGCATCATAAATTATGTAAAATAAATGTTTTTTTAATTCTTTAAATGCTCAAAATTTTGTATTTTCAAATTTTTTTAGAATAATACTGAAAGAAACCGTTATCAAATTCGTCATTAATAAAATCTTATTTTCCATTGATTTTTCTTTGATTATTCAGTTTGTCGTGAAGAGCCTGTTATGAATCCTGCTTGTTATTTAAGGCCTTTTCCTGGAATTCCAGTTATTAGTAGGTTGACAGTTGTAAATTCTATCTGTTATGGAGAGTCTGTTGGTAATCCTGTCTGTTGGGGAGGATCTGTTGGTAATCCTGTCTGTTGTGGAGAGTCTGTTGCTAATCCTGTCTGTAGGGGAGAGTCTGTTGTTAATCCTGTCGACTGTGAAGAGTCTGTTGTTAATCCTGTCGACTGTAAAGAGTCTGTTGTTAATCCTGACGACTGTAAAGAGTCAGTTGTTAATCCTGTTTGGTGTAGAGAGTCTGTGGTTAATCCTGTCTGCTGTGGAGATCCTGTTAATCCTGTCTGCTGTGGAGATCCTGTTAATCCTGTCTGTTGTGGAGAACCTGTTAATCCTGTCTGTTGTGGAGAGCCTGTTGTGACTATCTGTTCTGTGGCCTTTAGTTGGGGCAGAATTGCGCTTAAAATGTTACATCTACATGGTGACTTAAAAAAAAAACAGTATAAATTAAAACTGCACCACTTGGATACATAGTATCTTTATTATAAATTAAACATTGTAACAAAGTAGTCAATTTTCAAACGGAATTGCAATACCTTTTTGTCGGCACACTTTTTATATGACATACTTTGGCTCTAAGTCATACACAAGAGCACAAATGTAATGTTTTTGCTTCATTTTTGTTTTGTAAACACCTTAAATTGTAGTCATCACATGACATATATTATACAAAGTGTTATTCATTAAGGATGTCTCACTTTTTCTGATATATCTGATTTATATATATACATCGTTTCTAATAAAATAAAATTACTTTTAAATCAAACGAACACACAGCGCAAAGAGAATATTATTATAAATTCAAACTAGACTCAAACCGAACCGGATAGAAATTAAATGCTATAAAATTGTTTGATGTAATTGTTAGAAAAATATGTTGTTGTCGTTTGATGCGAGAATATAATTATTTTTATTAAACAACTAAAAAAATACTTGCCTTTTATAACTGTTTATACCTGTTTTTTGCGGAATATTCAGTAACGTGGGAGGCGAAAACTAACTTATAGTTTGTCTATGGTAAGAACTCCCCCCGCCACAAAGTCTGAGGCCGTCTGCTGCTATGGAAGCAAGAATAGCGCAATTCAGGGAAGGTAGATTCTCTTCACTTTAGGGCTAACACAATAGACCGAAGAAAGATTCCCCTTCTCGCCGACGAGAGCCAAAACCTGTCCTAAATAGTGACCCCCCCCCCTACTTGAAATAGCTACACCTCGTTACCATGGTCACCGCCACGGGTCCAGTTGAATAATTAAGGGAGTTCTTGCTTTAGACAAACTATAATTTCTTGTGTTCGAATTGTAAACATAATCTTCCGTTGTCGACAGACGGAAGATTTAAGTACGCCAAAATGAATCAAAATAATTCATAAATAGTGTAAGTTCATTAGATCTTAGTGTAAGATTTCTCATTTGTTTAGATTTAACTAAACTTTTTACGTGTGTATAGGCGCTTTATTCGGTATTAACTAAAAACAACACACAATTTTTGGAGTTTTTCGACACCAAATTCGGATAGATAATAAAGCCACAGTTTTGCAGTTTATGTAACATGTACAAAAATATCGAAATTTTACAGTTTTTTTTGTTTCTATGTTAAGAATTATCGTAAAATTATTGTCGATAAAGTGTATGAGTGATTTTCCTTTTAGTGCGACAGACGCTGATTTTTTTCCATGATAGATTACGCTTTGGAACAATTTTTTTCCCCATTGCATGAGATTTATCAGACCTCAGATACTTTGGTATAGCAAATTTCAAACCAATCGGTTTAGTTCTTTAAGCTACAGTTTTATTAAATGACATTTTTAGCCTATTTTTTGTTATGTACAAGCTTAAAGAAATTTATGCATGACAAGGGAGGAGGCATGAATGATGTAACAGATTTCTATTGCAGTTGAAACACATGATATCGATTAAAATTGCATGGGAACCCATGTCCGGAAAAGTCGTCATACGCCACAAAGGGAATTTCCCTATTATGAACTGTTTCTTCATGTACTTCTGAACATATCATAATAGGAAAGCGCTTTTAGTGGCGAAAGACAACATGTCCGGACATAGGCTCTTATGCAATTTCAATCCCGATTATGTGCTCTAACTGCTCTGAAAGTTTATCGCAACTTTTATGCAACCCCCTGTGATATACAACTTTTTTAAACTTACACATTTTGACAAAAATTAAACTAAAAATGTAATTTTTTAAGTGTTATCAAGCAATAATTCTCGATTGTCATGAAAAGAAATTCTAATACTTACCAAAATAAATGTCAAGCTTGACATGAGAATAATGCCAAGGTATTTCATTTTTATCGTAGCTGATAGACGTCTTAAAGGGTAGCTTATATGTTTCCTTTACCTGTTTCTCTCTTATATACCTTCGTAAAAATTGAAAAGAAAACGCGATATTTATAGATATTGCCTCGTTTTCCTTCACTGAAATTTCCATCATGTCATAAATATACAACAAATAAAGTGAATATTCAATTAAGATTATATATTTAGATAAAAAGCTACATAACTCATTTAATTTGTCCATCTTCAAAAATCGTGGTCTGAAGATCTTAAAATGAAATTCTTTATTTCAGCTGTTGGGTAACAGTCAAGAATGAGCTTCATTTTTGTCATCCAAATAATCATGTACTATATGGTGTATAGTAATTTTTTTAAAAAAAAATATAATAATTCAAATGTATAAAAGAATAAAAAATTCATCCATTCATTAATTTTTAAAGGGTAATTTTTTCTAGTAAAAGTATGTTAAAGTATTTTTAGGATTGAGTATTTCCTATTGTAAAAAATTCGCCTTATATATATACGCCTTAAATATATA